TCTACTTGTCTATAAAAAGTAAGCTTTGAATACACGTGTTTATCTGTAATAGTTACATTTGGAATACACGTGCTTGTTTGTAAAACTAAGCTTGGAATAAATGTAATATTTTGACCTAGTTAATGTTGGAATACACATGTTTATTTTTAGTAGTTAAGTTTATAACAAATACACTAGTTTATAGTTGTTAAGCTTGAAATACATCTGCTTGCATGTAGTACTTAATCTTGGAATACATCTGCTTGCATGTAGTACGTAATCTTGGAATACATCTGCCTGCATGTAGTACTTAATATTGTAATACATCTGCTTGCATGTAGTACTTAATCTTGGAATACATCTGCTTGCATGTAGTACTTAATCTTGGAATACACCTGCTTGCATGTACATTTTGTAGTACTTAATCTTGGAATAAACCTGCTTGCATGTAGTACTTAAGCTTGGAATACATTTGCTTTTCTAAAGTAGCTAAGCACGGAATACGTGTGATTCTCTATAGTAATGTACTTCTCTGTAATAGTTAAGTTTGGAATACATGTACTTGTCTTTAATAGTTAGGCTTAGAATACATACTTATTTCTGTAGAACTTAAACTTGGAATACGTGTACTTTTCTGTAGGATTTAAACTTGGAATACACGTGCTTGCCTGTGACAGTTACATTAGAATACATGTACTTGTCTGTAAAACTTAAGCTTGGAATACATGTACTTTGTGTAAAAATTAAGCTTAATACATGCGCTTTTTTGTAATATTTAAGGATGGAATAAATAAAGTTATTTGCCCCTGAAGGAGAAAGGTCCACCTTTCGAAGAGGCTCGAGTTATAGGGATTCTATGATCTTGTTTATAATTGTTAAGCTTGGAATACATGTAATTGTCTGTAAAAATTAAGCTTGCAATACATGTAATTGTCTGTAATAGTTAGGCTTAGAATACATGTTCTTGTCAATAGTAGTTAACTTTGGAATAGATATGTTTGTCTATAGTAGTTAAGCTTGGAATATATGTATTTTTCTATAGTAGTTAAGTTTGGAATACATGTGCTTGTCTGTAGAAGCTAAGCTTGGAATATATGTACTTGTCAGTTAGGCTTCGAAAGCTCCTTCTTGTCCATAGCAGTTGAAATAAGCATGTTAATTGAAATAATTAAATTTGAAACAAGCCTTCTTCTGTAACAGTTAAAATTGAAATAAGTATTCTTGAAATTGAATGTAGCAATGAAACTTAAATATATTATGCTCATCTGTAACATTACACTTGGAACAAATACGCTTCTAAAATTAAAATATATGTGCTTCTCTGTAGCGTGTTCTTGTCTGTAACAGTAACACTTGAAAGATTAATATTTGTCTGTAGCAGTTAAAACTGGAATAAAGATTCTTAACTTACACATCTATGTTTGCAGAAAATAAAATGAACCTGGATTGAATAGGCTTAACTTTATCAGTTAAATATTTTTGTCAAATACATTAAAAGTTATTTCTGAGATTAATAAAAGAAGAAATGACCCCATTTTTCAAACCATTATTTGGATGGTCAAGTAAGTACATTTTGTGTCACGTAAACCTGAAACCAGTAATTCATTTTATTCAGCCGTTAAACGCACGTGCGAACGTGTTTGCGCTAAATTAAGAACCTTCAAATTGTTAATAAAACCTTAAGAAAATTGATTACGAATAATAAACAATAAATGTGACAGGTATTAATAATTTATAACATTCTTACAGATTTATCCCACTTGTCTACGTAGTCATTCTGTGTCATTATTTTGATTTCCAATATCTTTCTTCGTTGTACACAACTTTGTTTCACGCTGATATAAAAATGTTTCAAGATTAATTCCAAATTATTTTTATACCGGAAGGATTACTCCTCGTGGTCAATAAAACACATTACGTTTTTCGACACGGTTGTTCGTATCGATTTCAAATTTGGATTTGTCACGGCCTACAAGCTCATTTAAAACAATTTCTTGTTATCTGCTGTAATGTACAGTATTTTCGGATACCAGGAAACCCTGGATCGTAATCATTAAGTTTAAAACCTGACATTTTACCGATATAATTCTCACTTAACCTTTGTTATCAGACATAGTTCTCACACCATCTTTGTCAGCTAATGAACAAAAAAAGGATAACCGACGTAATTCTACACTATCAGATAACGGTTAATGAATAAGAAGGATAATCAGTATAATTCTACATTATCAGAGAACAGTTAATGAACAAGAAGTATAATCAGTATAATTCTACATTATCAGAGAACAGTTCATGAACAAGAAGGATAATCAGTATAATTCTACATTATCAGAGAACATTTAATGAATAAGAAGGATAATCGGTATAATTCTACATTATCAGAGAACAGTTAATGAATAAGAAGGATAACCGACATAATTCTACATTATCAGAGAACAGTTAATGAACAATAAGGATAACTTATTCAGTTTCTAAAGTGACTGAACTGATGTAGAAAAGATGAAGACGAAGTCTTTGAAGGTAAGAAATGACAAGGTTTTAAGGTATAAAAATTATTTGTGATATTTTTCAACTCACTAAAGAGGCTTACTTTGATTTTTTACATTGTTTATGAGACGTCAAACTTCAGTATCGGAACGTAAAATAAAACTATTCTTTGAGAGGGATAATTCTGATTTGGAAATTTGCTTGTCAGAATTCGTTTTCCTTCAAAACTGAAGCTAAGAGCACACATTTAGATTAATTTTAATAACTAGTTATCTAACTATACTGTCTGTTTTTGTTTAGAATATAAGATAATTCCTTATTAATTTGAAGCCTGAAATTTATATAGGTAATCTCTAGATCAGCAGACGAACTTTTATTAACACATCACATTTAGAAATAATGATGTTGTTGTTTTTACGACTCTAACACTGATTGAGTTGTTTTGCAGATATATGGCCATCATGCATCCATTAAAACCCCGGATGTCCCGTGTCACAACCCTCAACATCACCCTGTGGATATGGCTTGCCAGCAGTATCTTGTCTCTACCTAATATTCTCTACTCTACTACCATTAAAGAAGAGTATTCTAACGGAGATTATCGTGTCATTTGTTACATGATCTGGCCAGATGGACCCACCACGCAAAGTTACACTGAATACATGTAGGTTTGGAACATTTGTCTGATATGAGTATATACTCATGTTTTAATCAACTAGAACCTGTTTATGAATGGATGTACGCATCTGTAGGTTTAAAATGTTTGTTTGATGTTTTAATATGAGTATATACTCATGTTTTAATCACCTAGAACCTGTTTATGAGTGGATGTACGCATCTGTAGGTTTGAAACGTTTGTTTGATGTTTTTGATATGAGTATATACTCATGTTTTGATCACCTAGAACCTGTTTATGAATGGATGTACGCATCTGTAGGTTTGAAACGTTTGTTTGATGTTTTGATATGAGTATATACTCATGTTTTAATCACCTAGAACCTGTTTATGAGTGGATGTACGCATCTGTAGGTTTAAAATGTTTGTTTGATGTTTTTGATATGAGTATATACTCATGTTTTGATCACCTAGAACCTGTTTATAAATGGATGTACGCATCTGTAGGTTTAAAACGTTTGTTTGATATGAGTGCATACTTGTTAGATTGTACGGTGCTCATGTAGTCAATATTAAGCTCACTGTTTTTGTATTCTGGTTATTTTTACGTTGTGTGATATAGTAACTATTTGTGTTCTGACTATGTTTATGTTGTCAAGACTAAGGTAACTTTTTATATATTATGTGTCTTTGAGTTGTGTGATGATAGTATATAGAATATGTTTTTACCTTATGCATATTCACGGTGTATGATAATGATGCAATCAAATTTTTGGTAACTGTTTTTACCCTATGTATGTTTACGTTGTGTGATAATGGTGTATATGATAACTGTCTGTTCCCTAGGTTTATGGTAACATGCTAGATAGGTTTACACCTTTGAACGGTGATGTATTTATGTTTATGATAAATCTGTATTCGCTACGAACGTTGTTATTTGACAAGTAAGTTTGGTTCTTTCAGTTACAACGTGGTTATCCTGGTTTTGGCTTATATTTTGCCAATTACGTCAATGACATTTACCTACTTCAGGGTTGGCCAGGAGCTCTGGGGTAGCGAGAGTATAGGCGAATGTACACCCACACAGATGGAAGCCATCAAATCTAAGAGAAAGGTAAGTTTTACATCATGAAAAAGGGAGATTGGATTCGTGTACAGTAAGGTATTGTTAGGTAGAGACATGATACATGTACAGTAAGGTATTGTTAGGTAGAGACATGATACACGTACAGTAAGGTATTGTTAGGTAGAGACATGATACACGTACAGTAAGGTATTGTTCGTATCATGTCTCTACCTTGTACAAAAATGTATTGTTAGGTAGAGACATGATACATGTACAGTAAGGTATTGTTAGGTAGAGACATGGTACATGTACAGTAAGGTATTGGTAGGTAGAGACAGGATACGTATACAGTAAGGTATTGTTAGGAGTTAGGTTTGTGTTTTACTTAGACTATTATTCTCGTTTTAGTCAAATCTTTCAAGATTTAGAAAATAAAAATATAATTGTTAAATTTGATTTGAAAATATGTAAATTAGATTATAGTTTTAAACAAATCTATCGTATGTTCACAAATCACATGAACAGAAAATTCAAGCATTGTTGGAAGATACGTTAATATGATTTGGACCCCCAGTGGCACAGCGGTAAGTCTGAAGAAAGAACTGGTATCAATACTCGCGGTGAGCACAGCACAGATAGCCCATTGTTTAGCTTTGTACTTAACTACAAAGAAACAAAAGAAAAGGGCCGAAACTCCAATATCTTAGTAATTTGGTTTTAGTTTTGTTTTCTTCAGTTACCAACGTTTACTAAGTTCGTTCAAATACGTTTATTTACTTTATATGTTAGATAAACTTGGAATAAAGAAATACGTTATGATGTTCGATAGTATTGTGGAAAGCGGTAAATGTAAGGTACTAGTGTACAAGATAATGTACTGGTAAGGTACTAGTGTACAGTATGATGTATTGGTAAGGTACTAGTGTATAGTATAATGTACTGGTAAGGTACTAGTGTACAGCATAATGTACTGGTAATGTACTAGTGTACAATATAATGTATTGGTAAGGTACTAGTGTATAGTATAATGTACTGGTAAGGTACTAGTGTACAGCATAATGTACTGGTAATGTACTAGTGTACAATATAATGTATTGGTAAGGTACTAGTGTATAGTATAATGTACTGGTAAGGTACTAGTGTACAGTATAATGTACTGGTAAGGTACTAGTGTATAATATAATGTATTGGTAAGGTACTATTATATAATATGATGTATTGACAGATTGTGAAAATGATGATCGTCGTAGTCTTCATCTTTGCTGTGTGTTGGCTTCCTTACCACATTTACTTTCTCCTGGCTCATCATCACAGAGAAATCATCAGCTATAAGAACGTTCAGCACATCTACCTTGGGATCTACTGGCTCGCCATGTCGAACTCCATGTATAACCCCATCATCTACTGTTGGATGAACAGCAGGTAACAGGACTGTCGCTCTCTAGCATTGTTTTTTTTTTACCAAAGTCTAGTTTGTTCAGTAAATATAAAGTTGTTTGTAAGTTTTATAAGCATGGATCTTATTAACAAAAAACAAATTTTTGGGTAGGGCTGGGCTAAAAATACTTTAAAATAAAAACGGGCAGAATTCACTAAAACAAAGTAAAGCCAAGAGATCCTGTTTCACAACGTGATGGTTACTGGCCAGCTTTATATTCATTGTCTTTCTTTAACAGAAATGTCATTAGACCAAGTTTCACCACGTGATGGTTACTGATCATAAGTTTTATATTCATTGTCTTTCTTTAACCCAAATGTCAGGAGATCCAGTTTCACCACATGATGGTTACTGATCGTAAGGTTTATATTCATTGTCTTTCTTTAACCCAAATTTCAGGAGATCCAGTTTCACCATATGATGGTTACTGATCATAAGTTTTATATTCATTGTCTTTCTTTAACCCAAATTTCAGGAGATCCAGTTTCACCATATGATGGTTACTGATCATAAGTTTTATATTCATTGCCTTTCTTTAACCGAAATGTCAGGAGATCCAGTTTTACCACTTTATATTCATGGCCTTTCTTTAACTAAGATTTTAAAACACGCTGATGTCAAATGGTTAGCTTCTTGTATCACCAACATCACGTGGCTAGCTTCTTCTAACACTCACGTGGCTAGCTTCTTCTAACACTCACGTGGTTAGCTTTTTGTATCACCAACATCACGTGGTTAGCTTCTTTTATCACCAACATCACGTGGCTAGCTTCTTCTAACACTCACGTGGTTAGCTTCTTGTATCACCAACATCACGTGGTTAGCTTTTTTGTACTATTCACGTCACATGTTGACCCTTCTATTCCACTCATCTCTAATAACATTTTAATTTAACATGTTCGCTGCCATGTGCCCTACCGCTGGGTCACAACCGACTTTTATTTATGTACCGCGTAAGACATCGGTGGGTCACAGACAATTATGTTTCAAAGCCAAATTTCTCTTGTGACATATGAGTTTGGGACACTGTGACTGCTCCTTGTAACCTCTTGAATGTTTAATTTTCTACTTTAATTTATTAATCGGCAGCGAACGTGTTAAGAATTTTCTCCAGTACGATTACTATTTCTATCCTCTTCTTTGGAGATTAACTGTTATCTTCAAGAAAATTGAAAAGACGTTATACTTGGAATTAATCGTCTCCTAAGATTACCTGTCACGTTTAGATGCACGCGTGGATTGTTGAGAAGACAACGAAACCTAAACTGAAAATGTAGAAACAATTAAACGTACAGACGTTCGATAAAACCTTACACAATACTTTAATTAGGTGATCTGCTCAGAACTATTGTGTCAATCCTGCTGTTGTTAGACTGGAACTTTCAAATTTGAGATTAAATTGTCAGCTCGGAGTGTGCAGTCGGGTGTAATAAAGTGCATTAGCTGTCAGTGAAAGGATGAAAAGCTCGTGTACCGTACGTTTAGTTAAAGATAAAAAACGTAGTTTGCATATTTATATGCCCTTTATGATATATAAACCAACTTACGTGTATTCGAGCGAGTATCATTCTGTGACATGTTTAACGAAGTTATACTCGGTCGGGAGGAAATCTCTAATGTGAGACATTGAGTTTTTTTCGTAACTTTTAGCATGTTCTATTAACTTTCTTATTTTAAATGAACATTGTTATTTTGTAGAGTAATTTGATAGAGCCTAAAATAATTATCTTTTCGTCTACAATAAGCTCGCATCGAAGAACGCTTTTTATATTATTCAACCGAGAAATTACGGTATTATAACTTAGATGACTTGTGTGATAAGGTTACTCACGTGGAATGAGTACTGTATCCAGTTGAAATCTTCTCAACCTGAGCATGGTTCTTTTAGGGATAAATATGATCAACTAGAAATGGTAACTTCTTGAGAATTAATGTAGTCATAAATTTACAAACTGGAACAGAGCTTACAGAAAGAGCATGTGATTTCTGATATTAAACGATCTGAATCAGAACGTGTTCTTGAATTAAAATCGTATCGTTTCTTAACATGTACATGACAAAAAAAGGAAATTCTTGTTAATATCAAGTAATTTTAACAGCAATTGTTCTATTTCTTGTACACCTACCAGGTGATATTGTTACACCTACCAGGTGATATTTGTACACCTACCAGGTAATATTTGTCACCTACCAGGTGATATTTGTACACTTACCAGCTGGTTTTATTACACCAACCAGGTGATATTGTTACACCTACCAGGTGATATTTGTACACCTACCAGGTAATATTGTCACCTACCAGGTGATATTTGTACACTTACCAGCTGGTTTTATTACACCAACCAGGTGATATTGTTACACCTACCAGGTAATAGTTGTACACCTACCAGGTGATATTTGCCACCTACCAGGTGATATTTGTACACTTACCTGCTGGTTTTATTACACCAACCAGGTGATATTGTTACACCTACCAGGTGATATTTGTACACTTACCAGCTGATTTTATTACACCTACCAGGTGATATTGTTACACCTTCTAGCTAATTTTGGTACATGTGCAGAGATGATATTGGTATAACTCTTTGGTGATCTTGGTACACCTACCATCTGATAGTTGTACACCTACTAGGTGATAAAGGTACACCTACCATCTACTTCTAATTTTGGTAACCTACCAACTGATCTTGCTACACCTAACGGCTATTGTTGATATTGCGAAAAAACTAATTACAATACTAAAAAAAATGCAAATCCATTATAAGCACTGACTTTGGTTATAAGTAAAAAAGAATATTGGATAATTTAAGAAATATTGTATTTTTGTAGATTTTTATTCTAAATGTCTATACAATATATTACTTACATGAGTCCGGTCAGATAATCGTCTTGTCGTTAAAATGTCTTGTCCAAAGTTAAATCTGTACTACTGTCTTCAACCATTTTTGTACTGTTGACTTTATTATTCTTAAATAATCGTCTAATCATTAAGAGGGCTGTCCCAAGTTAGATTTGTTGAATTGATTTTATTATTGTTAAATAATCGTCTAATCATTAAGAGGGCTGTCCCAAGTTAGATTTGTTGAATTGATTTTATTATTGTTAAATAATCGTCTAATCATTAAGAGGGCTGTCCCAAGTTAGATTTGTTGAATTGATTTTATTATTGTTAAATA